ACCGTGTCCCACCTGTGAGATCAGAGACAAATCACTGCTGGAATATCTATGACATATATATATATAATAGGCTTATATGTATTATTGTATATATATATATAATATCATTCTCGACAACAAAACAGGGTTCCAAACAGGGCCTTTGGGGATTCCTAGTTGGAGGAACTCCATCCTCCGGGGCCATCGGTCGTGTCCTCTCCACTGGCTTTCCATTTGGAGGTTCCAGGTGATTCCCAGAGCCACTCGGCCTCAGGAGACACATGACTCCCACCCCCCATGTAGCCAGAATTTCCTGCATGAAAACTGTATAAAACAGTACAGTAGATTGAACAAACTTCATTCTCTATTGAAAGCAACCTTCCTCAGTGTTCCCAAATCAGCAAACCCTCAAAACACCCATTGAATACGGTGCAAAACGTTGTGATCTCCAGAAATCTGAGACTCAGATCTGCCCATGACTCGAGTGCAAGTTTCAGTGCACGCTCCAAGATATAGTTGAGCAGAACATATATATGTATATATATATATTAAAGCCAAGGCACGAAGAAGGTCTGATGGAACTAAGTAAAATGGAACAGAAAAGACTTTACATCTTCCTGACCGAGTGCCCGCTTGGCACCTCCGGTGTCGGAAGAAACACGCTAGGCTGATCCAGCAAACTGATGGTGACATAAAAAGCGAACAGGCATCAAGATGAAACAAAAAATGAACGCCGTGAAAGAGCATAACATATTGTAACCTGAAAACCTTAAAGATCTTAACAACCTGAGGCCGCTGGCCTTTTATTGTCAATTCTGACTCACACACCACACTCGCCACCTGAGGCAGCCACGAGGGGGTGATGAGGTGACGATATGGACTTTGCCCAGCCTGGATCAGATCGGGACCGAGAATGGCAGAACGTCCAACGAAATCTCTTATTGGTTTTTGCTTGAATGTGCTTGAATAATATATATTACATATATATTATATTTACTATAGTGTATTACTATATAATTCCTCCTTGACCTTGAGAAGGGTCGGGGCAAATGCCATGGGAGGTGCTTGATTGGATATTCAGTACCGCAAATAAAACACATATTGAAGTCTTGCCTGATTATGCCTGATTCATCCACTTGAGGCAAGCAGAAAACTCTAAGTTGCAAATCCTTCAGCTTAGCTTTCTAGGGTCCGTTTGTTGTTGCAACTCAGTTGATCATGGCTCACGATAAGTCTGACACACATAAGAATGTTGCAGCAGCAAACTTTGCCAAGTTGAGGTCATGCGCAGTCACAAGAACAATACCACAGGGTCTAGATACCTCCGTCTCGTATGGGTTGGGGATTCCAGTCGAGTTCAAGTGCAGCTGTTCAGTTCATCCCAATCGGAGGGTCCTCGACCCTTTTGGAAATAATTTACCTGACATCACCAATTGAAACATGTTTTTAAATGCTACGGAAACAACCAAACAACCCTTCGTGGCAATCCTTTCGGGGCAGGTCGACCATTTGGCGGGAGACTTCCGCTCGGCACATGCTGAGGTCTTGGCCGGCAGCGACTGAGTTCCTAAATTCTCGGTGCGCATGGTCCTGGCGGAAGTGTCAGAGTGGGCGACATGTAATTAGTAGGCTGTGAGTGGTGTATGCAACACATGGTTGATCTGGGCCAAAAGTCTCAGTTCGTACCTCGTTTTTATGGGGTCATGTCATGTCCCATTTTCCATAATGTTTGAAGTCGGGTCCAGGTGCGTGACTTATAGGTGTACTCTCGCCTGATTGCAGGGAGATGTCATTTCCATGCATAAATAACCTTCTCATGGGGAAACCTTATGGGTTTCCGCCATGCAACCGAATGAGGGAAATTCATGCTATAGGCTATAGGTGTCATTCAAAGTAAACCGGAATAGCATCGGACAACCTCGGACACCGAGGGTACCGTCTTCGTCCCCCAAACTCTGTTCTTGTGGCTCACGTGTTCGCTTCTCAAGCCATGGCTGAGGTTCTGCGCTCGCGGATGTCACAGGGTGGGTGTCTTGGGGCGAAAACCAAAGCATCTGCAGCAGGCAAGGCAGGTCAGCCACTGACCGATGCTTTGAGGCATGCTTTGCACGAGGCAGGACGTGAAGAGCTGTTCAGGAACAAGCGTGAGGCGCATGAAGAAACGTGAACAAAGTAGGGTTAGAGTTCACAACAAACCTGAGAAGCTGCAAAACGAAAGCCAGCGCTTCCCTTTCTCGACAACTGCGCGTCGAAGCAATCAAATGAGCTCGCGCAGCCGCTTGCGGCCGCGTGTCAAATCTGCTTCATGTCTTGTTCTGCCCACACATAGGTAACCATGTCAAAACAAAAAAACAATGCACCCTTTTGTTCAAACAAACAGTTTTTCAAGCTAAATTCAAGGTGGCCTGAGACCAGGGTTTGCTGCCCTAAAACACTCTGTTCAGGCCACCTTCAAAATGACGGTCTGCGAAGCGAGAGCAGAGGATGCATGTTGTCCTTCTGCTGCTTGAATGTGACATATACCCTTCAATAGGAACTCGAACGGCTCAAATCCAGAAGATTCTGAAAATGGCCTGGCTCCCTATATGAACCCTGGGAAGACTGGGAAGCGAGGAGGTGGAAACTCCTTTGCTCTCGCTTCGCAGACCTTCATTTTCAAGGTGGCCTGAACAGAGTGTTTTAGGGCAGCAAACCCTGGTCTCAGGCCACCTTGATTTTAGCTAGAAAACCACAGCTTTGAAGCCTCATGCGCGCGATACCTGGGAACAGAATTGTAGCTACCCTGGGTCCGTATAAATACTG